AATTATTTATGAAATGTAATTCCCTCATTGCATTACGCTTTAACCTGTCACTTTACTACCCTCAGAGATTAGATTTGACAGATATATGATTGACTTGCTTAGGCATTCATGCTTATGATAATCTTGGTTTCTTATAAGGTCTTTACATAAATTTCACATTTTATTCCTGAACAAATTATTGGAAATAGTAACACATTTATTTTATTGTAATTATATGTAAGGTGAAAAAGATGAGTAATAAGCAAGCAATTATTTAAAAATATCTTAATTCTATAAGATTTAAAGACAACTTTTAGGGAAGAATTTAAAATGTAAGTCATATATGCTTTTAGATAGCAGCCATCTTTTCATATTCTCTTGTTGATGTGAAATTCCTATGATATTGTGAAACCTTGACTCTCAACAGCTGGTTCTCCCAGCTTTGTGGATAGCAGAGTTGACTTTGCCTGAAGATGAGGGCAGAAGTCATTTGCTTTAAGCAAAACATGATACTGTTTTTTTAAGTCTCTAGGTGATTCTGATGGATATCCAGGTGTAGGTAGTGCAATAGTTTAAAGCATATAAAATCTATTAAGTATGGACTTTTTGTTTCTACCAATACATTTATTTGTGTCAGTTATCCTATATAAATGCACATCTATTAACTGGCTTCTAAATGCCAGGCACTATTCCAGATATTTTCACATCCATTATTTCAATAAGTTCTTTTCGGAGATGTAACTTAGTAGATTAAAAAAAGCAAACAAACCATATGAGCCCTCTCTTCTTTGGAAGGAATGCAAGATAGCATCATGATGCTTAGTCAAAGGAAATAGCATCCACAGCTATTGTTTTAAAATGAAACAGGCCTTGTCACATTCCTTTTCTGAAATATCACCAAAACTCTTCTGCTGCTGGTTTGGGAAGTAGTGAGGAAAGGAGGTGAAGAGAGGACAGAATTATTCTATTTTCTTATTATAGACCTTCTATTCTGTGCTATGTGATGTCAATAGAAATAACTTAAAATATCCAAGATCCCTCAGAAGGCTGAGAGGTACAGTTTTGCAATGTTGTGAGGAAATGGGGTCCCATCCAGGTCTCAGCTGCCTGGAATGCAAAAGTGTTGGGTTACCTTAAAGTTCTCCCCCTCTTGAATGCAGGTATCCTGAGGTTAGCTCTGGGATGAGGCTGGGGGATGGGTATTCCTTTCAAGTCCCTTAGTAGAGGTCTCTATGCTGCTTTAGTTACTAGGGTACTTGGGGAAAATTTTTTTCTGAATAGTTTTTCTTTAACCTATGGTAGAACAGAGACAAAAATGATACATAATATGTCAAAACTCTTAAAATTCCTGCGTTCTTCCTCAGAGCCAAAACTTCAGAGCATCATTACAAAACTTCCTCTTGAATCCCAAGGCCCTTGGTGGAGCTGATTCACTGAACACTCACAATGAGGGAGGGAACTCTTTCCCAAGAGATGGTGTGGGAACCGGGAGTTGGGAAAGTTGGGATTCAACTTTAGGTCTGCTCTTACTCATTTTTCTGAGATTAAAAAGAAAAAAAGACAACTTAGTTATTAAGGGGGAAAAATAACAGCATGAACTCCTTTGCTTCTTTGTGCATTATAAAGTCAAAGATTAAATGTAAAGAAAAAAAAGAAATAGATCGTTTGGCCCAAACAACTACTTACAGAGTTAAAGTATTATAATTTTTAAAATTTAATCTCTGATGATGTAACATGGGTCCCAAGAGGTTAAATGATTCCAAATTACATATTTAGCCAATTGCATGCTAATTGTTGGGAATGATTTAGAATCTAAACAGTTGTCTTTTTAGATTTTGGCAACTATACGTATAACAAAAGTTTTCTGCTGTGGCAGCCAATTCCTCCTGTAAGTCTCAGCCTCATGCTAAAAATGGAGGATTTTATCTCCTTTTCTAAAACAGCAAAATGGTGGTATCTGTCAGTCTTTTTTCTCCAGTTGCATTCTCAGTACAAGATCTATAATATTTAGACAGCCAACACCAAATTCACTCTCCTACACATGTGATCTGAGCTAGATTATTTTAAAGTTAAAGATGAGGTTTATATTAACGGAGTGTCTTGTTACTTCCAAATTGAATTTCTTTAATGTACAAAAGCATATTTATGTGATTTGATACATTATTATATTTTTAATTTTAAAATTATATTTAGAGAGAGAGAGGAAGGGAGTGGAATAGAAAGATAGAAACATTGGTGAGAGAGAAACATCATCGATAGGCTGCCTCCTGCACCCCCTCGCCCCCCCCCCCACACACACACACACTCTGGGGATCAAGCCCAGAAACCAGGGCATGTGTCCTGACCAGGAATTGAACCAGTAACCTCTTGGTTCATAGATCAGTGCTCAACCACTGAGCCACACCAGCCTGGCTGATACATTATTTTTTAATCATCAACTCATAGCACCTTTTTTATCAACAGTGTTTTATATGTTCTCTGAGAGTTGGTCCAATTAGATCTGAGTAGAGAAGAATTAAAACACAAAGAGATCACAGCACTTATCTAGACAAAATCAAGAGAATTCAGTAATATCACTTATTTATTTAGTTAAGCCAGTACATGGTTTATTTAGTGATTAAAAGTGGAAGTAAACATTGAAAAAGTTTAATATGTTAATATTCTTAAATTTTTTATTTATTATTTTTTTATTGATTAAGGTATTACATATGTGAATATTCTTAAATTTTAATTTACCTCTAAATATACCTGGGAAGATAAATAGGTTTTGACTTTCATTAAAAGAAATGTTTTAAAAATTGTAATAAATTGTATACTGAAAATGAAAGTTAAAATTTCCAAGTTTGGCCGAAACCGGTTTGGCTCAGTGGATAGAGCGTCGGCCTGCAGACTCAAGGGTCCCAGGTTCGATTCCGGTCAAGGGCATGTACCTTTGTTGCAGGCACATCCCCAGTAGGGTGTGTGCAGGAGGCGGCTGATGGATGTTTCTAACTCTCTATCTCTCTCCCTTCCTCTCTGTGAAAAATCAATAAAATATATTTAAAAAAAAAATTAAAAAAAAAATTTTCCAAGTTTGCATCTCTGATAATAGATATGTCTTTGACCAGCTTAAAAAACTTTCCCCCCCCTCTTTTTAATTTTGATTTACGTGTGAGTTAATAAGGAAAGCCAAATTAAACACAAAACAAGAAACAAAACAAAAACTATTGATTTGTTCTACCAGTCTCTTTAAAAAACTTTTAATTCTTTATTAAAAGTTGTCCTAGGTAGGAACATTTTGTTCTTTTTGTGTCTTATTAATCTTTAATGAAGATATTCTTTTAGGCTCTGCAGATATATTCAGAAAATAAATAATTTTAGAAAAACAATGATTTTGGAAAGATTAATCAGGGCTTAAACAAGATCTCAAATAAGAGTGGTTTTTTTTTTTCATGGATGGAGGTAAAAGTAACAAAACTTGCTTACTTAGCTGATGCGATTGATCAGAAGGAGTTTCTGGTTTCTCTCATTTAAAACAAGAACAAAAAAGGCACAGCAAAGGTAGACAGTGACATGATATATATGGAGACCTCCCAAACCCTTCAGGCTCAAATTCAATAGCTGGGCCTTTGTTTTTGTGTGTGTGTGTGTTCAATCATATAATTAATTGCCTACTTTGTGGGCACATTTAATCTTAAGCCCTTTAATAAGTAATAATTTTAAAGGTAGTCATTTATCTGTTTCTCCACACTATAATTCAGATATAAAATTAACTATTATCTGTTGTTCTCTGAAGCACAACTGTTTCTTTAAATTAAAAACACCAGTTTTAAATCTGAGATTATAAAATGAGAAGTTACGTTTATCACTGCATTTATTTCCTGGCTTCCAGTTAGAGTGTATCATGAATATAATTTTTTAATACAGAACATTGCGTGAATTGCCATGGGAGCTTTTGGACTTAGCTCCTCAGTCTGATATGTAGGTATATGGTAGACAGTTAAAAGGTTTCTTATTATTAATTACCTGTACAACATCACAAGAAAGTAAATAAGCCTCACCGATGGAAACTCAATGAAAAAGGCTTCACTTTGGGAATAAAGAGAATCTTGACTGAAAAAAATTTGGAAAACTTTTTTTTCTGAGATATTTAAGACCATTCTTTGGAAATTACCATGACTGTGGAATATTGAAAAACCAAGGAAATACAGTTGACCCTTGAGGAACACAGGTTTTTTCCCCATAATAAATTGGCTTCCCCTAGGCCGGGTTTCACATCCGCAGATTCCAGCAACCTCGGAGGGAAAATCCTCTTTTCTTTGGAGGTTGGGAATCTGCGCCTGCAGAGAGCAGACTTACATGGATTCTTATGTAAGGGACCCCAGGGGCTCCTGGGACCCAGGTCTCGGGGGTACCCAGAGGGGACCGGGCTTGTAGGAAGCCAGAGTTACACCCAGATTTTCAAACGCGCCTGTTCTGCACCCCGAACCCCTGCCTCGTTCCACCGTCAGCCGTGTCCTGCGGGCTCTTCCGATTCACTCTCTGGTATGTTGAAATCAACTCCTGTTGTATCTAAGTAAACCAAAGCTATACTTGTTAACAAATTTCACATGTACATGGACTAAGGTTGATTTCCTTAAACCAAGCTTTTATTTTTTACAGAGAAGTTAGCTTTTCCTCTGTACCTTTATACCTATGACTGGAAATCGGTGCACACGGGGATCTCACAGAATTTCGAATCGTGTTAACTTTAATATCTATTGTATTTTGATGGGAAATGGCTCAGACTCTATGGGTTGTTGTTGACACCAGAGGCGCAGTCTGTGAAATACTAAATTCTTGAGCATTTTTGCTACTTGGGGTGGGGGGTGGGTGGGGGTGGGGCGGTGATGTATCCCAGAGGAGAAAATAGTGCAAAGGAGAAAATAGCGCAAAGCACACATCAGCTTATAGAAGTTTAGATCAATAGCAGTTTTCCTAGAAGTTTAGATCAATAGCAGTTTTTCAGTTATTTTATATGTGTGTGTGGAGATTATATATGGTATCTCAATGACTTCAAATATCAAGAGTTTAGTTTTCGTGTCCAGAAATTTGTTAATGTGGCTACATTGAGACACAGGTTATGCGTCCATCACAGTAATCTTATTACAGTGGTGACAGTGAGACCTGTAACATTTTTTGAAAAAAAAAAAGTTTAGTTTTCTGCTTATTCTGTCTGTGCTTCAAGGATGACCTTTGGGCTGTATACCACATGGTCCTCACACAGGTATGGCAGGTGTCAGAATGGCTGCCATTTAGGGAAGACATCATAGTGCTCTGGTTTTCCAAGCCTTCCACCTGCAAATGACACATAATTCTTCCACTTGAAACCATTGGCTGACATAGTCACATGATCCTGCCTAACTTCCACAGGCAGGTAAGCATAATTTTACCACAGGACTGAAAGAGAAGTGTAAGAAATGATAATAAAATATTAATGAAAAATACTAATGATTATGACTGCCTTAAAATATCAGTTACAAATACTGAGTTTACTGTTCATCTTGCATAAAACTAAACTTTCTCTCTCTCTTGTAGGGAAATAATATTCTCCTGGTTTCTCAGTGCGTCTGTAAAAAGCCCTAGCCAGAAAGCTAGGGAGTGTTTGCTTTTCCTCTTCACACATGAAAATTAGATCTGTGGCCATTTGGACTAGGTCCCTAGGTTAAGCCCTAAGGTGCCAGAAAGACTGGAGAACTCTCTTCCTGGGTATTTACATTCCAAAATCTGTGAAGTCCAGAGCTTGGCAACATCTCCGGGTCACGAAAGAAGAGACACCCAGTGTTTATCTGGCCCTTGGAAAGATCGTGTTTACATTCCAGAAGTTTAGGGTGAGAATCCAGGATATTTGCCTCTCCTCTCAAAGGAGCAAAAGGGTTTTTTTTTGTGTTTTGTTTTGTTTTATTTTGTCCTTCTTTTTTCAAGAGGGAATGTGGACAGCTATCTTGCTACTGGATATAAACAGAGAAAAGTCCATTGTTCTCCATTCCTTTGGAGATGCAGATTTTGAAGTGTGAATGGGTATGACCTTTACCTGAATTTCCTTGTGTCACCCCTGGGGCGAGAATCAGAGTGGAGGGGACCCCAAGGTCACTATTTGCTTTTTAAAAAAATACATATTTTATTGATTTTTTTACAGAGAGGAAGGGAGAAGGAGAGGGATAGAGAGTTAGAAACATCGATGAGAGAGAAACATCGTTTCAGCTGCTTCCTGCACTCTCCCTACTGGGGATGTGCCTGCAACCAAGGTACATGCCCTTGACCGGAATCGAACCTGGGACCCTTGAGTCTGTAGGCCCACGCTCTATCCACTGAGCCAAACCGGTCAGGGCTACTATTTGCTTTTTAAGTGTATAATGATAATCTGTCTCTGGTTTAGAATACCTCTACCTCATTTGCACATTCTGGATAAAGTTGATAATGATCAACATTAAAAGTCCTGTAGTTCTCATAGTTCTCTAAGGGAAACAGTCCAACAGCCGGATCCCATCACAGCATCAAGCACAGTCTCAGGTGATGTGCAGTAGTCTCCAGTTCAAGGAATGATGCTCAAGAGCAGGTGTGGCAGCCCTTGATGCAGAGATGTAGGAATATAAAAAGTTTTTTTGCCTCGAATATACTCAATTTACAGTGACTGATCTGGTTCAGGATAAACATTCCTGGTGAGAAAGGGGAAGAATGGGAGTCACACAGCCAACTTGTCCATATGGTGATGCCATCTGCTGGGCAACATATGAAGGGCCTTCTACCCTTCCACTCCTCACACACTCACATGTTTTGTGGTCTGCATGTTAACTGCTTGCCATATCTATTGCTATACTCTTTGGGCAAAGTGTGCTGGCTATAGAATAGACTCATTTCTTCTGCAGCTAGAGCCTTCCCCTACATGGCTGGACACATTTAACAGTTATTGAATTTGTGTGATTGAAGCTCATTTGGGAACTGCTTACCAAAGCTAACCCTGAGCAAAGACTCATAGAGTTGAGATGATGTACCCATGAAAATTCCCCATGTACTCAAAAATGTCTGATTTCTCACTGTTTGAATTTTTCACTCAAACTGCATTATATTGCCTGAAATTTACTTTTTCTATTGTGGGTAAATTTTTTTAGTGTTAGTAATAAAAATACAGTAATTCTTATTTTTACACACACACACACACACACAGTGCCAGTGTGAAAAATGAAACACATTGCTAATATCCACTTAAAGCATCACATGAAAAATGAAGCTGAAATAAATTTCAGACATGCAGCCAAGCTGAACAGATATACAACTCTTGGAAACTAATTTTAAAAATTTAAATCAAATTTTATTCTGAATGAAAACTCCAAGTTAAGTAATAGTATTCTCCACTTGAAATTTTCTTTTGAATAAAGCACTTAATGTACTTGTATGCAGAATACAATATATTCAAACAGAATCTCAAAATACATTATGTATATTCATAAGAGGATGTAATGCTTTCATTTTGATACAGAATCATGTAAAGAAATTCTGTTGACACTCATATGAAATGCTGACAAGACATCAAATGCTATATTTAAAATTAACCTCAAATACAAAGAGAGGGTGTGAACACAATGGTCAAGTGGAATTTTTATCTCTCTCATCTCTGTTTCCTTACATTTTCTCTTACCTTTCTTTCTTCTATTTATGTGGGAAATAATTTTTATTCTGATCATTCATGTTCTTAACAAATAATGAGTACCTGATATGCAGACTTTCTATTATATATTATTCTGTAGTTTTGAAAAATGTTTTATATCTGTTGAATTTAAAAAATCTGAGTTTGTAGTGCATTCATAGAGTTAAGAAACCCAAATGAAATATACAAATATATGCATTTAGCTCTTTTGCCATCACCACTCACCTCTGTCCTGGCCACCTTGTATTCACTGAACTCCCTTAGGGAGCCATGTTTTATTCTGTTCTTGTATAACCTACCAGTGTTTCTCTATATAAATATAGGCACATGTAAAGATATATTATTATTTTTCCTACACAAAGATATGATACTGTTATGTAACTTGACTGTATTCTTTTAAACTATAAATCTTAGAGAATTTTCTATATGAGGGCACAGAATCTTTTTTAAAAAAAATATTTTTAGCCCTGACTGGTTTGGCTCAGTGGATAGAGCGTGGGCCTGCAGACTGAGGGGTCCCAGGTTCGATTCCAGTCAAGGGCATGTACCTTGGTTGCAGGCACATCCCCAGTGGGGGGTGTGCAGGAGACAGCTGATCGATGTTTCTCTCTCATCGATGTTTCTAACTCTTTATCCCTCTCCTTTCCTCTCTGTAAAAAATCAATAAAATATATTAAAAAATATTTTTATTGATTTCAGAGAGGAAGCGAGAGGGAGAGAGATAGAAACATCAGTGATGAGAGAGAATCATTGATTGGCAGTCTCCTGCATGCCCTTTCTGGGGATCGAGCCTGCAATCAACCGGGGCATGTGCCCTTGATCGGAATAAAACCCAGGACCCTTGAGTCCACAAGCCAACGTTCTATCCACTGAGCCAAACTGTTAGGGCTCCATAGTCTTTTAAAAAAAACCTTCACATATGTAACTATACCACAGATTGTTTAAAATCAGTCTCCATTAGATGGGTGGATGTCACTGGATTTTATGTTAACCAAAATAGTACTGCAAAAATATAACCTTGTATGTAAATAATTTCAGATGTGCCTGCAGAATAAATTCCCATAAGAATTGCTGCATATAAGGGTAAGTGTATTTTAAATTTTGTTACATTTTATTAAATTGTCCTCCACAGGGTCGTGTTATTTTGTGCTCCCGCCAGAAATGAATAAAAATGCTTTTCCCCTATAACCTCACTAACAGAGTATTAGCAAACATTTTAGGTTTTGACCAGTGTGATAGAGAAAAAAATATTATATTTTAACACTCCGGTGTGGGGTGAATTTCCCGCCAAAATATAAGATGGCTCTGTCTTTTGGTTTTGTTCCATCCACCAAAAGGGTGGATTACAAACAAATATTTGGTAATACGCAGTTACAATCGGCCCGAGTTTACACGTTTCCCGCACTCCACCGCAAATCTATATGAACCGAGTTAAAGACGGCTCCCGCGGAGTACGCGCAATTCACGCGAGCCGACTTAACTCGTTTCCCCCACTCGAAGTGTTAATTAGGATCTCATTTATAATGAATGAGGTTGCACATTTTTTATTTCTTAAGGTATATTTTTATTTGATTTTTAATGAATAGTTCATGAATTTGCTTATTTTTCTCTTGAGTTGTTGGCTTTGTTCTTCTTGATTTTAAATTTACATATTTGGGAGATTACACTTTGCCTACGGTAAAGTTTCTTTTTATTTTTATGTGTGCCACTTGTTTTTTCTTTTGCTTATGATATTTTTGTGATTCGTTTTCTTATAGTGGCATTTAAAAAATCTCACTGATAATTTTGTGAATCTTTACTTTAATGACCTCTGTATTTCATGCCATGATTAGAAAGTCCTTTCTTCACTACTCTCATGTTATAAAAATACATTCATATTTTCTTTAATACTTTTATGGTTTCATGCTTTGCAGTTATTTTTGTTCCATTTGTACCTTACCATGGATTTTTTCCAATTGTACAATTATATCATCTGAAATGTATATTAATTTTTCTTCATTATTTCATATTTTTGAACTTTGAATAAAAAATAATTTTTTTTTACTATAATTGCAGTGGGTATTATCTCTAGCACCTTGTTCATTAGTCACGGTGATAGTGAGCATTCTCATCATGTTTCTGCCTCCAGTGGTTTCCCCATTTGGTATGCTGCTTGCAGAGCTTGATGTGACACTTAGGTGTGTGTTAGTGAATATTTCACTGATTTCAAATTTGGGGGGTTTTACCTTAGATCTATAAAGAAAATTAAATACAATAAAATATTTTCTAATATTCAGCCATCATTTTATGACTAGAATAGATCCCACTGTTTTTTGATGCACTGTTATTTTAATGTGCTGCTAGAAGGGCTTGCTACTGTTTTACTTAGGACTAGAGACCTGGTGCATGAATTCATGCACAGGTGGGGTCCAGCCCGCCCCCACCCCCTCAATCAGGGCTGATCAGGGCCGGGCCAGCCAGGGGGAGGGACTTTGGGAGGTTGGCCGCTAG